TTTCTCCCCTTGAGGAGTCTGGCTGCCCTCCGCTGCTCCTGCCTTTTCTCTGCCCTGTGTGTTCTCGGATCTGCTGCCGCAAACTTTCCCCAGCTGAAGCCACCCCCAAATCTTTTTCGGACAGCCATTCAGAGCCATTCATCAAATTGGTTTCTGACGTGCCAGGAAGGGACTCAACCTCTTCTGAACTGACTCTTGAGGAGGAATCTGGGGAGTTACCCAAGGGAGACATCACAGGAATGTGGCCCAGAGGGAGGCTGCAGCCCGGAATCGGGTTGCAGCCCACCGGTCCGCACAGTGGGTGAGCGCATGAGCACGAAGCTGTATTTGTGCAAGCAGCGTGCGTGCTCACAAAATCATCCCTTCTCTCCCCTCCCCCACAGAGCTGGGAAGATTGGGGACCACTGCTTTAAGGGACATATGGGTATTTTTTGTGGTGTAAAGACACACTGCAGAGGCATTCTTGGGTGCACAACAGAGTACCTTTGACATTGGGAGATGCCAAAGGTTCTCACTGTTATTCTAAGTGAGGTGAGCCGAGGTGGCGCAGCAGTTAGAGTGCAGTACTGCAGGCCCCTTTAGCTGACTGTGTTCAGCAGGTCAGCGGTTCAAATCTCACCGGCTCAAGGTTGACTCAGCCTTCCATCCTTCAGAGGTAGGTAAAATGAGGACCCAGATTGTTGGGGGCAATGTAAATATATATATACATTGCTTACTGGTGTACACCGCTTAGAGAGTGCTTGCACTTAAAGCGGTATATAAGTCTCATAAATAAATAAATAAATAAATAAATAAATAAATAATGAGAAGATGCTGTATCTAGCTGAGAAAGGAAACAGAAAGGAATACAGTCAATTTACTGCCTCGGATTAAGGCATAAAACTCATTTATTTACCAACAGACAACCAAGTGGCATCATAACGAGGATCCCGTACTTACAAGATGCTACTAGAGAAATACCGTACAATTAAAAACATTGACAAGAGGAAAACGAGAAGACATGTAACGGTACACAGCGCCTATAACAAAATGGATTACAGGATGCTATAATTAATTCAAGCTGCAGCATACAGGGAGTCCTTGACGTACGGCCACAACTGAGCCCAACATTTTTGTGACTAAGTGAGACAGTTTGTTAAGTGAGTTTCGCCCCATTTTTACGACTTTACTTGCCCTGGATCACTGCCGCTGTTAAGTCAGGAGCCTGGCTGTTAAGTGAAACTGGCTTCCCCATTGACTTTGCTCGTCAGAAAGTCGCAAAAGGGGATCACACGACCCCGCCTGGACACGGCAACCGTCATAAACACATGTCAGTTGCTGAGCATATGTATTTTGATCAGATGATCATGGTCAGGGGTAGGCAACCTTGGCTCTTTGATGACCCGTGGACTTCAACTCCCAGAATTCCTGAGCCAGCCTGGCTCAGCTTGGAAACCTCTCCCTTTTCCCTCAGCATGGCTGGCTCAGGAATTCTGGGAGTTGAAGTCCACGAGTCATAAAAGAGCCAAGGCTACCTATCTCTGGCCTAGGCCTAGGCCGCTTTATGACTCGTGGACTTCAACTCCCAGAATTCCTGAGCCAGCCATGGCTCAGCTTGGAAACCTCTCCCTTTTCCCTCAGCATGGCTGGCTCAGGAATTCTGGGAGTTGAAGTCCACGAGTCATAAAAAAGCCAAGGTGGCCTACCCCTAACTATGGGGATGCTGCAACGGTCGTGTCAAAAACGGCCACAAGTCATTTTTTTCCACTGTTGTAACTTTGGACAGTCATTAAATGAACTTTTGTTAAGTCGAGGACTATCTGTACACATTTTTGAATCTTCTGCCTCGGATCAAGGCATAAACTCATATAATTACCCACAGGCAACAAACAGGCATCATAACAAGAGCCTCATACTTACAAGATGCTACCACAGAAATACGGTACAATTAAAAACGTACTGTACAGAACACGTATAATGAAATGATCATCGGATACTCTAATTAATTCAAGCTACAGTGTATTCCGATTCACCATAGGGAATGGCTACATTCAAGAGCGGTCCAATTGAAAGCTAGATTTTAAAAAAATGGCATTTTAATAACTCTCCCACCCTGAGCAGTAAATCCATTAGTTTTGCTTCACGCCAGCCTCCTTCGGATCTAATAGGCAGGCCCTTGAATTTTAAATTTAAAAAAGCTTGAATCCATGGTCTGATCCTCAAGTCATTTAGAATTAGCTGCCTAATCTCAGCTTTTCTAATGTCTTCTCTGTTACAATTCATAAAAAAAAGGCCACTGGAATCAAGTTATTGCAATTTCTACAGGTCTAAACATTCCTTCTTCTATAAAACTGGTCCGCTTGAAAAAAAAAAAAATCTAGCCACAGAATGCATGTACAAGTATTATTATTTTTAAAAGAGATGCAGCTATAAAGCTGCAAAGCTTTTTACTCTCCTCAAAAGCTGAGCGGAAGAGCGATTTCTATCCACTCAGCGCCAGACCAGAAAACTGCTCTCTACCGCAGTAAATTACGTTGGGATGAAATGAATAAATGGGATACAGTCGCCTACTGTGCTACTCCACAGTTCAACCACAGTGTGCTCAATAAGTCACAATTCGTGGGATTCACCCAACACGGTAAAACGAGAGCAAAGTGGCTGGGTACCCATGTCACTTCAAGTCAAACTGAAGGAAATTAACTTCAGAGTTGAATCAAAGCCGGTTCTGGTTTAGTGTTTGGAGGAGACCAAATGCCAAAAGACGCGGGAGGTCCATGCAGGGCCCAAATGTTGAAAGCAGCAGCTCTGATCCCTTTCATACATGCAAAGGATGTCGTAACATACAAGTAGTCCTTGAATTAGGAGCACAACTGAGGCCAAAATTGATGTTGCTAAGTGAAGCATTTGTTAAGTGTGTTTGCCTCATTTTACGATCTTTCTTGCACAGTTGTTAAGTGAAGAGGGGGGAGGTGTGGTTTCACGTGCTGCCTGGACTCCACATGTGTGCGGTTGGAGCTTCACTCGCTTTCCTTCCTTCCTTCCTTCCTTCCTTCCTTCCTTCTTTCCTTCCTCTCTTACCTCCCCTCCCCTCCCCCTTTCCTTTCCTTTCTCCTCTCCTCTCCCTTCCACATCCTAATCCAAAGGTAGGCAACCTCGGCTCTTTTATGACTCGTGGACTTCAACTCCCAGAATTCCTGAGCCAGCCTGGCTCAGATTGGAAACCTCTCCCTTTCCCCTCAGCATGGCTGGCTCAGGAATTCTGGGAGTTGAAGTTTTCTACTCTCTTGATGGCATCTATATACTCTAATCCAAAGGTAGGCAACCGTGGCTCTTTTATGACTCGTGGACTTCAACTCCCAGAATTCCTGAGCCAGCCTGGCTCAGATTGGAAACCTCTCCCTTTCCCCTCAGCATGGCTGGCTCAGGAATTCTGGGAGTTGAAGTTTTCTACTCTCTTGATGGCATCTATATACTCTAATCCAAAGGTAGGCAACCGTGGCTCTTTTATGACTCGTGGACTTCAACTCTTCCTCCCAGAATTCCTGAGCCAGCCTGGCTCAGATTGGAAACCTCTCCCTTTCCCCTCAGCATGGCTGGCTCAGGAATTCTGGGAGTTGAAGTTTTCTACTCTCATAAAAGGCCAAGGTAGGCCTAACCCTGGCTTTTATGACTTGTGGACTTCAACTCCCAGAATTCCTGAGCCAGCCTGGCTCAGATTGGAAACCTCTCCCTTTCCCCTCAGCATGGCTGGCTCAGGAATTCTGGGAGTTGAAGTCCACAAGTCATAAAAGAGCCACGGTTGCCTACCCCTGTCCCAGTCAATCACTGAATCGCTCAGTGTTTGGGAGATAGAGATGTGCATAAAGATCAACCCGAGATTCTTCAAAACAGATCTGAACAGAGCCATCTAACCCAGTGTTTCTCAACCTTGACAATTTTAAGGCATGTGGACTTCAACTCCCAGAATTCCACAGCCAGCAATGCTGGCTGTTGAATTCTGGGAGTTGAAGTCCACATGCCTTAAAATTGTCAAGGTTGAGAAACACTGATCTAACCCATTCTCCACAAAGCAATTTCTCTGATTTAAATCCTACCAAGCCGGTAGGAGACTTGCAGTGAGAAAAATGGCCGGAGGTCGTCTGTTCCAGGACTTTTTCCAGCTCTTTGCACCTCTTTGCAGTTTGGCAGGGAAGAAGCACCATTTTGATCCAGGCAATGACCCAGGAGAGAAGAAAGGTAAACCCTTCCCTTGTCCCAAAAGGTGCTTTTCGGGAGGCAACTGGACTTTCTTGTTTTTCTTTGAAGAAGCTTCTTAGATGAGAAGCGAAACGTCTTCAGAAGAAAAACAAGAAAGTCCAGTTGCCTCCCGAAAAAGCACCTTTGGGACAACCGTGATCTGGAGGACTGATGATCTCCACAGTCATAACCCTTCCCTTCCTCTACCAATTTTAAGGCATGAGGACTTCAACTCCCAGAATTCCACAGCCAGCAACGCTGGCTGTGGAATTCTGGGAGTTGAAGTCCACATGCCTTAAAATTCTCAAGTTTGGGAAACACTGCTCTACCACAGTGGTTCTCAACCTGTGGGTCGGGACCCCATTTGGGGTCGAACGACCATTTCACGGGGGTCGCCAAACAACGCAGTCCGCCATTTTTCCCCCCCTTTTCCTTAGCTGTGTTACTCCCTTTTATTCTATTGGCTTTTGAAAGCCAATAGAATAGACTCTCTTGAATAGAGTCTAATCCTATTGGCTTTCAAAAGCCAATAGGAATTGTCCAGGCTGTCTCTGCCCTGCTGAGCCCGCCAAAAGTCCCATTCTGCAAACGGTGCTGCACCAGTTGCGTAGTCCTCGACTTACGACCGGTTGGGGGGTCGCGGCATTAAAAAGGTTGAGAACCACTGCTCTACCATGACTTTTCCGGACGTTACTTGAAGTCTCCCGCTGTCCCTCTCAGGTTTCCCCAAATTAACTGGGAAACCCTGTCCAAGATATTCCTCGGTCAGACTCGCCATTCTCGCTTCCTCCTCTTTTTGGCTAAGAAGGGGTTTACGCAGCGGCTTTTTCAAGTCTTCCCACATTTCTCAATCTGGACCTCCAGTTTGGCCTTGGAGGACTAGGTGACAGGGAAGCGTTGAGAGGGCGCGAAGGCGCCCCGCTTTCCTTCTCGTGTCTCTTCTCGTGCTTCACGCGGGTGGAGTTGCGCTTAAAGCTTTTGCCGCAGCTGTGGCAACGAAAGGGCTTCTCTCCCGTGTGGGACCTCTGGTGCGAAACCAGGTGGGCCTTTTGAACAAAGCCGGCCTGGCAGAGCGAGCACTTGAAGGGCCTGTCCTTGGTGTGGATTCTCTTGTGCACAATGAGGTGGGCCCTCTGGCAGAAACTCTTCTTGCAGCTGGGGCATTTGTACGGCTTGTCTCCCGTGTGGATCCTTTCGTGTTTGACCAGGGACGAGTACAAGCCGAAGCTCTTCCCGCAGTCGGAACATTTGTGCGATTTCTCTCCCGTGTGGGATTTCTGGTGCCTCCGAAGGTCGGGCATCCGGGTGTAGCTTTTCCCACAGTCCAAACACTTGAAAGGCTTGATCCCGCGGTGGGTCCGCTGGTGGGAATAGAAATGGGAGCTCCGGTGGAAGGTTTTCCCGCAGTCGGAGCAGCTGAACCGCTTCTCTTTTTTGTGCGCCTTCTTGTGTTTGGTAAGATGGGACCGCTGGCTGAAGACCTTCCCGCAATCCGAACACTGATAGGGGGTGGTCCTTTGGTGCATCTGCTTATGCTTCAGAAAGGGGATACCCTGATTAAATACTTTCCCACACTTGGGACATGTTTTTGGTTTCCTTCCTTTGCCGATTCCTGGCTGAAGGAGGACTTCGCTGGTGTTTTGAGGATCGATGGGGGAAAGAATTGATTTCTCTTCTCTGGTCCTTTGTCTCTCAGATTTGCGTTGAGGATAAGTTGTGGGCTCCTCTGGGCGAGGGCCCGCATCTTTTCTCAAAGGCCCTTGAGCTACCGTTTCCTCAACCTTGGCTGGCTGGAGATTGTTTTCCTTCTCTTTCTCCTTTTCTTTCTTCATCTTCTCCTTCTCCATCTTCTCCCTCTTCTTCTTCTCTTTCCCCTTCTCCATCTTCTCCTTCTCCATCTTCTCCATCTCCGTCTGCCTCTTCTTCTTCTCTTTCCCCTTCTCCTTCTCCCTCTTCTCCTTCTCCATCTCTGTCTGCCTCTTCTCCTTCTTTTTCTCCTTCTTCATCTTCTCCGTTTGCCTCTTCTCCTTCTCTTTCTCCTTCTCCATCTTCTCCTTCTCTGTCTGCCTCTTCTCCTTCTCTTTCTCCTCTATCTTCTCCTTCTCCATCTGCCTCTTCTCTTTCTCCTTCTCCATCTCTGTCTGCCTCTTCTTCTCTTTCTCTTTCTCCTTCTCCATCTTCTCCTTCTCTGTCTGCCTCTTCTCCTTCTCTTTCTCCTCTATCTTCTCCTTCTCCATCTGCCTCTTCTCTTTCTCCTTCTCCATCTCTGTCTGCCTCTTCTTCTCTTTCTCCTTCTCCATCTTCTCCTTCTCTTTCTCCTTCTCCATCTTCTCCTTCTCTTTCTCCTTCTCCATCTTCTCCTTCTCTTTCTCTTTCTCCATCTTCTCCTTCTCTTTCTCCTTCTCCATCTTCTCCTTCTCTTTCTCCATCTTCTCCTCCTTCTGTCTCTTCTCCTTCTCTTTCTCTTTCTCTTTCTCCATCTTCTCCTTCTCTTTCTCCATCTTCTCCTTCTCTTTCTCCATCTTCTCCTTCTCTTTCTCCATCTTCTCCATCTCTGTCTGCCTCCTCTCCTTCTCTTTCTCCTTCTCCATCTCCTCCTTCTCGTTCTCCATCTTCTCCTCCTTTTTTTCCTTCTCTTTCTCCTTCTCTGACTTCTCCTTCTCTTTCTGTGTCTTTTCCTTCTCCTTGTTCTTATCTTGCTCCTGGGATACTACCATAAACAATGGAAAGAAAACTCAGTGAATAAGTTCACTCCATTGGTCACCCCAGGATTTAGTTGACACCCAAATCTCACATAGGAGCTGAAAGCGATTAGCTCATTCACACCAGGCGATCAGAGCTTATCACTTCCAGCTATTTCTTAGAGGATATGCAAGGTGTTTTAAATTCAAATCACTTTGAATCAGTCTGGAAGTTGAGCCCTGGCAAATGGACTTTGGTAATGCCTCGGTAAGGCCACACTTAGAATACTGCATCCAGTTTTGGTCACCATCTTATAAACAAGATGTAGAGACTCTGCAAGGAGTACAGAAAAGAACAACAAGGGTGATTAGGGGACTGGAGGCTAAAACATATAAAGAACGGTTGCTGGAATTGTGTATGTCTAATTTAATGAAGAGAAGGACGAGGGGGGACATGATAGCAGTCTTTCAATATCTCAGGGGCTGTCACAAAAAAGGGGAGTCAATCTATTTTCCAAAGCACCTGAAAGCAGGACAAGAAGCAACGGATGGAAACTAATCAAGGAGAGAAGCAACCTGGAACTAAGGAGAAATTTCCTAACAGTGAGAACAATTAACCAGGGGAACAGCTTTGCCTTCAGAAGTTGTGGGTGCTCCATCACTGGAGTCTTTCAAGAAGAGACTGGACAGCTACTTGTCTGAAATAGTATAGGGCTGTGGTGGCGAACCTATGGCACGTGTGCCACAGGTGGCACGCAGAGCCCTCCCTGTGGGCACGCACACCATCGCCCCAGTCCCAGGCCTTCAGCTGGGTTTTATAAAACCGTTTTGCTTAAGGCCTCTGCCGCCGTGTGCAAAAAAAATAAGGTTAAATTTTAACTTCTTGTGGGAAAAAAAAGATCTTGTAAAGTTGGAATTGATTGATTGAACTTTTTAGTCCCACCCAGTCTGCCGTTAACGCTGCATCCACGCCCACCCAATGGGCCACGCCTACCCAGCATCTGATGATATATAAGTGGGTTTTGGGTTGCAGTTTGGGCACTCGGTCTCTAAAAGGTTCGCCATCACTGGTATAGGGTCTCCTGCTTGAACAGATGGTTGGACCAAAAGACCTCCAAGATCCCTTACATCTCTTGTCATTCTGTTCTGTTCTGTTTTAGACTTTCTTTTCTTGTCGGTTCAATATGTTTTGCTGCTTTTCCAAGTAGCTTCTTCAGATAAGCAGCTTCTTCTTGGCTAAGCAGCGAAATGTTTTGAACCCACAAGAAAAGAAGTCCAGTTGCCATGATTCAATTCCCAGACAACTCTAGCTGGATGACTGAGAATCTTCATCGACACTTTGAATTGGAAACATATGATTTAGAGTTTGAAACATCTTACATCTCATGCAAAATTAGAGCAAGCCAGAGCAGAGGAAAACATCCTTTGTTAGCTGTAAGTTAACAATAATAATAATAAAAACAATAATAGAGTTGGAAGGAACCTTTGAAGTCTTCTAGTCCAACCCCCTGCTCAGGCAGGAAACCTTATCCCATTTTGGACAAATGATTGTCCAGTCTCTTCTTAAAAACTTCCAGTGTTGGAGCATTCACCGCTTCTGGAGGCAGGTTGTTCCACTGATTAATTGTTCTCACTGTCAGGAAGTTTCTCCTTAGTTCTAGGTTGCTTCTCTCCTTGATTAGTTTCCACCCGTTGCTTCTTGTCCTGCCTTCAGGTGCTTTGGAAAATAGCTTAATTCCCTCTTCTTTATGGCAGCCCCTGAGATATTGGAATACTGCTATCATGTCCCCCCTCGTCCTTCTCTTTGTTAAACTAGACATACCCAATTCTAGCAACCGTTCCTTATATGTTTTAGCCTCCAGTCCCCTGGATTAGTTTCCACCTGTTACTTCTTGTCCTGCCTTCAGGCGCCTTGGAAAATAGCTTGACTCCCTCCCTTTGTGGCAGCCCCTGAGATATTGGAACGCTATCCTGTCCCCCCTCAACCTTCTCTTCATTACACTAGACATACCCAATTCCAGCAGCCGGGCCTTATATGTTTTAGCCTCCAGTCCCCTAATCATCTTTGTTGCTCTTCTCTGTACTCTTTCTAGAGTCTCAACATCTTTTTTACATCTTGGTGACCAAAACTGGATGCAGTATTCCAAGTGTGGCCTTACCAAGGCATTGTAGAGTGGTATTAATACTTCCCGTGATCTTTATTCTATCCTTCTGTTAATGCAGCCTAGCACTGTGTTGGCTTTTTTGGCAGCTGCAGCACACTGCTGGCTCATATTTAAATGATTGTCCACTAGACTCCGAGGTCCCTCTCACAGTTACTACTATTGAGCAAGGTACCCCCTATACTGTACCTGTGCATTTGGTTTTTCTTGCCTAAATGTAGACCCTTACTTAGTTCCTTTGCTGATCCCCATCATTTCCCATTCAAACAATTGCAAATGCAACCTTTGGACAGATTCCTGTCTTCCTGGGGACAGTCTATCCTATGATCTATAGCTTAATTTTTCCCACCTGCAGTGCTGACATCCTGATTGGTCCCTTTCTCAGAAGGTGGAGAGCGTAGACCCAAAACAGCTTCGTCTTCTTCCTCCATCGAGAAGTTTGGACCCAAACCGGTGAGCGAGACAACTAGTACAAAAATAAAATCCGAGAAAATAAAATCTAGGTCAGACATATCAAACACAAGGCCCAGGGGCTGGATGCAGCCCGCAAAGTGGTTTCATGTGGCCCGCGAAGCCATCCTGGAAACAGTGAGGGAACGGCCCCCGCTGCCTGGCCCTGGCCCAGGCCAACTGGGAGCCAATGTAAAATTTTGTGGTAGCCATCCAAAACTTGGAATTTTGGTGCAAGATTCTCAGTTATGGCTGAGCATTACTGCAGTACACTTGACTTCTAATAAAACTATGCCTTTCTTAGCAAATAGAGCCAAAGATTCTTTCTATTTAGAGGTTTAAGTGGTGACAGATCTAACAGTTTTAACTGAGGCAACTGTTCACCTACTAGCTTTCTAAAAGAATACAAATTGCACAGTAAGGTAAAAGAAATAGAATTCAGAGTGCCACTCCTTTACTATTTTTTATTTGGCGGGAAAATGACTCGTGAACAAGGAACTTTTTTTTATAATACGTCTCCATATCAAGATTTTATTGTAGGCACCCCTGTAGTTATCTCTGAAACCTAATTCTGTCTGGAAAGGGGAATGTCAGGTTCGAAATTCCAGGGCCACCCGTTAAGTTCCAATTAAATTGATTTATTGCTCATGCCTATGCAGAGGAATCTAGTCAAGTAACAGGATAGCACTATTTTGGCACTAGATAAGGGTTGGAGGGTCCTCAGATGGGGACTACAGCCAAGAAATTAAAAGACGCTTGATCCTGGGGAGGAAAGCTATGGCAAATCTAGACAGCGTACTAAAAAGCAGAGACATCACCCTGCCAACAAAAGTGCCTATAGTCCAGGCCATGGTTTTCCCAGTTGCAATGTATGGCTGTGAAAGTTGGACCATAAGAAAGGCTGAGCGCCAAAGAACTGAGGCCTTTGAACTATGGTGCTGGAGAAGACTCCTGCGAGTCCCTTGGACTGCAAGGCGTTCAAACCGGTCAGTCCTAGAAGAGATCAACCCCGACTGCTCTTTAGAAGGCCAGATCCTGAAGTTGAAACTCAAATACTTTGGCCACCTAATGAGAAGGAAGGACTCACTGGAGAAGGGCCTAATGCTGGGAAAGATTGAGGGCAATAGAAGAAGAGGACGACAGAGAATGAGATGGCTGGATGGAGTCACTGAAGCAGTAGGTGTGAACTTAAATGGACTCCAGAAGATGGTAGAGGACAGGAAGACCTGGAGGAACGTTGGCCATGGAGTCGCGATGGGTCGGACACAACTTCGCAATTAACAACAACAACAACAAGGGTTGGAGGAGAAGAGTTGGACTTGAGACTATTTGTGGCAATATAGAGATTCTAGGCTGATTCCTCTTTTGGCTCCGTCCTCACATTCTGCCATTCCTTCTCCAACAGGGGAAAAAAATCTAAGTCAGTTAGTTCTGGGTAGGAACAGGGATTCTTCATTCCCCCAAACTCCTGGATTTTAAGAGTATGTTCAGAAAGCTTGCTCACCAAACAGGACAACACTTAGCTCAGTGATGGCGAACTTTTTAGAGACCGAGTGCCCAAAACCTCCCCCCTGCCCCTGCTCTGCCTCCCGCCCTGCCTGCCCCAGCCCTGCCCTACCTGCCCAGCCCCGCCCGCCCCCTGCCTCGCCCGCCCACCCACCTGCAGGACCACCCACCACCTCCATGGCCCACCACAGATCACCCAGGCGGCTCTGCAGCGCCATGCAACCACACCCTCCGCCCACACCCCGCAACATCATCTGCACATGATGGGGCACGAGGGTGGAGTCTTGTCCCTGCTGTCCGGCCTGCCATGTCCTTGGCTGCGCTGCTCCATGCAGGATGGGGCCACGGGGGGAGGCGGGGCTGGGGCGACAGCGCGCGTGCCCACAGAGTGGGCTCCAAGTGCCGCCTCTGGCACGCGTGCCATAGGTTCGCCACCACTGACTTAGCTCATTCGGAAAGAGGTGGAAAAACATGGCAAGGACTCCCGGTAAATCCGATGAAGAAGGGCTGAAAAAAGCAAAAGCTACAGAGAGACATCAGTCTTGCAATATTCGATGGGAAGAAGGTTGGGGTTAATTTTCCACCGTGCCCAAGGACAAACTTGGCTAAAAGGTTGGACCAGAAAACCCTTAAGGTCTCTTCGAATCGTAGGATTCTGCTGAGCAACTTCCAGGATATTACATCAGCCAATTAGATGGCTAGGAAAGGAGCTGTAACCCAACAGATCTGGAAGCAGAAGAAACAAAACCCAGAGATTCTTACCGAGAGAGGTCACATGTTCATAATTCTCCTGCATCACCTCCTTGTACAAGACTCTCTGACTGGGATCCAAGAGGGACCATTCTCCTTCGGAGAAGCAGACAGCGACCTCCTCAAAGGAAACGGGCTAGAAGGAAACAACCAGAAGCTTATTCAACCAGGGGAGAAACCAGGCAAAAATGAGTCATTCCATCAAAAGAAGCACCAATGTGGCGGATTGAGAGAGGTGGCCAATTAGAGACAAGCACTCACTGCATTCCCAAGCTTGCTGATAGGTCTACCTGGGAAATCAACTAGACTAGAGAGCTCCATGTTCAGGCAAGTGGGGGCAGCAAGACTTCCTGAAAATAGAAAAGGGACCACCCACAAACCTTCTGCAGTTCCAGCCATCCCATCTTTTGTCCTTTGAGTTGCCCGGAAGTTGAGATGGGAGAAAAGTCAATCTGGAGAGCAGATGTTGGAGCAGCACTAAAGCCTCCCTGGGGGAAAGGTACATAGAGTCCTCAAAGCAAAACAGCATGAGGGGGCCCAGCAATCTGGTGGCTCCAAGGATGCTCTCCAAGCGATACTTGACGAGGCAGCTGGAGAGTGTGGAAATGAAGAGAAGGCTCTCATAATAACAATAATAATAAAAGTTGGAACTTGGAGGTCATCTAGTCCAACCCCCTGCTCAGGCAGGAAACCCTACACCATTTCAGACAAATGGCTGTCCAGTCTCTTCTTAAAAACTTCCAGTGTTGGAGCATTCACAGCTTCTGGAGGCAGGTTGTTCCACTGGTTACTTGTTCTAACTGTCAGGAAGTTTCTCCTTAGTTCTAGGTTGCTTCTCTCTCCTTGATTAGTTTCCATCCAAAGTTTTTAGGAAGAGACTGGACAGCCATAATAATAATGTCCGAAAAGTTGTAGGGTTTCCTGCCTGAGCAGGGGGTTGGACTCGATGACCTCCAAGGAACCTTCCAACTTTTTCCTTCTTCTTCTTCTTCTTCTTCTTCTTCTTCTTCTTCTTCTTCTTCTTCTTCTTCTTCTTCTTCTTCTTCTTCTTCTTCTTCTTCTTCTTCTTCTTCTTCTTCTTCTTCTTCTTCTTCTTCTTCTTCTTCTTCTTCTTCTTCTTCTTCTTCTTCTTCTTCTTCTTCTTCTTCTTCTTCTTCTTCTTCTTCTTCTTCTTCTTCTTCTTCTTCTTCTTCTTCTTCTTCTTCTTCTTCTTCTTCTTCTTCTTCTTCTTCTTCTTCTTCTTCTTCTTCTTCTTCTTCTTCTTCTTCTTCTTCTTCTTCTTCTCCTTCTTCTTTCTTCTTCTTCTTCTTCTTCTTCTTCTTCTTCTTCTTCTTCTTCTTCTTCTTCTTCTTCTTCTTCTTCTTCTTCTTCTTCTTCTTCTTCTTCTTCTTCTTCTTCTTCTTCTTCTTCTTCTTCTTATTCTTCTTCTTCTTCTTCTTATTCTTCTTATTCTTCTTCTTCTTCTTCTTCTTCTTCTTCTTCTTCTTCTTCTTCTTCTTCTTCTTCTTCTTCTTCTTCTTCTTCTTCTTCTTCTTCTTCTTCTTCTTCTTCTTCTTCTTCTTCTTCTTCTTCTTCTTCTTCTTCTTCTTCTTCTTCTTCTTCTTCTTCTTCTTCTTCTTCTTCTTCTTCTTCTTCTCCTCCTCCCCTTCTTCTTCTTCTTCTTCTTCTTTTTCTTCTTCTTCCCCTTCTTCTTCTTCTTCTTCTTCTTCTTCTTCTTCTTCTTCTTCTTCTTCTTCTTCTTCTTCTTCTTCTTCTTCTTCTTCTTCTTCTTCTCCTTCTCCCCCTCCTCCTTCTCCCCCTCCTCCTTCTCCTTCTTCCTCCTTCTCCTTCTTTTTCTCCTCCTCCTCCTCCTCCTCATTATTATTATTATTACTACTACTACTACTACTACTACTACTACTATGGTTCATCGCACAGTCAGCCAGATGTTCAGACTGGATTTGGCATTTTGTCTACCTATTGAGTCCTTACCAAGAACCTGGGATATGCAGATGTGGATGTTTGATGTTATTACAGATATCATCATCATTATCATCATCATCATTACCTGGAGTGTCCCTCACCTGAGCCTGCTGGGTCAAAGCCAGCCCCCCTCCAGTCCTTCTGCAGGATTGGAGAAAGCGAAAGTACCCTGTGGATTTTTCTTGGACTCCTCAGGAAAAAAGAGAAAATATTGTTCAGAAGGTCATTCCATTCATCTCTCTCTTGCACTCATCCACCCAGAAGGTTCCCGTTGCAGCAAAAGGGGCAGAAGAGACAAAATTAAAAGAAAAGGTCAGATGCTTGCAGATTGGTAGGGAGAAGGGGAGCTGGGGGGGGGGGAGATGAGGAAATAAGAAATGGGAAAAAAAAAAATCATAAAAAAAAACAGTCCGGGCGAAAAGGAATGATATAGCAGAAAATGAAAGTGAATGAAAGCACCATCCTCTCAACTTTCCATCCGAACCGGCGTTTTCTCAATCTAGCAACGTTAAGATGGATAGACTTCAACTCCCAGAATTCCACCGTCAACTGAGGAATTCTGGGAACTGAAGTCCACCCACATGAAAGCTGCTAAGGCTGAGAACCGCTGACATAAAAAAAAAAAAATTCCAACTTTATTTTTCAGTAAGCTCTGTCTGAAACTTAGCCTTTCATTTGATAAGAGATGCAGGCAACAAAGTAAAATTAATTGCTCCTGGTCTCTAAAAATCTTTAACTCCAATAAATCTCACGGTCTAGAATTATTTACCTTCTTGGTTTTGGTTTCCTATGGAATTAATCGATCCATAGAACCCATTAAAGTAAATACGTAGATATTTAAATATTTTGATAACTGGTTTGAGCATAATTGGTCTCCCTTGTAACACAAGGTAAGCCTGTGTTATCTTACTTTATGCCTTTAAAATATATTTTCTCTGAGGAGGGGGCCTCAAATTTCAGCAGATTCTCAAGAAGATTTATGACACAGAAAGGTTTATAAATGCTTCATCTAAGCCAAGCTGTATCTGGAATGGCACAAATTATTTCAAGTTCTAAAACAGTGGTTCTCAACCTGTGGGTCGGGACCCCATTTGGGGTCGAACGACCATTTCACGGGGGTCGCCAAACAACGCTGTCCACCATTTTTTCCCCCTTTTCCTTAGCTGTGCTACTCCCTTTTATTCTATCGGCTTTTGAAAGCCAATAGAATAGACTCTCTTGAATAGAGTCTAAATCTATTGGCTTTCAAAAGCCAATAGGAATTGTCCAGGCTGTCTCTGCCCTGCTGAGCCCGCCAAAAGTCCCATTCTGCAAACGGTGCTGCATCAGTTGAGCAGTCCTCGACTTACGACCGGTTGAGTAGGCCTCGACTTACGACCGGTTGGGGGTCGCAGCATTAAAAAGGTTGAGAACCACTGTTCTAAAAGGTTTTGATTACACTAAAAGAAAAAAACTGGCTCTGAAATGTTCAGCTTTGCGTGGTTTTTTTGGGGGGGGGGAAAGAACTTTTCTGGTGCTTTTCACTTTCTGACCTGCCTATACCAGCAAAACCATGACAAGAAAGATATATATATATATATATATATAGGTTCATATGGTTTTACCAGGTAAAACGTATGTGTCTGCCTCTTCCTCCATTTCCAACTTCAGCAATTCTGAAAGGGGAGAAAGATGAGAGGAGAGAGATCAGAATCCCATCACCCCCAATTCGAGCTTATAAGAGTTTACAGGTAGTCCTCGACTTACAACCGTCGTTCGAAGTTACAACGCAAGGGTAGGCCACCTTGGCTCTTTTATGACTCGTGGACTTCAACTCCCAGAATTCCTGAGCCAGCCTGGCTCAGCTTGGAAACCTCTCCCTTTCCCCTCAGCATGGCTGGCTCAGGAATTCTGGGAGTTGAAGTCCACGAGTCACAAAAGAGCCAAGGTGGCCTACCCTGCCCTAGGCTATATAAATAACACTTAGAATAGCCCTTAGACCAGGGGTAGGCAACCTTGGCTCTTTTATGACTCATGGACTTCAACTCCCAGAATTCCTGAGCCAGCCTGGCTCAGCTTGGAAACCTCTCCCTTTCCCTCAGCATGGCTGGCTGAGGAATTCTGGGAGTTGAAGTCCACGAGTCAAAAAGAGCCACCTACCCCTGCCCTAGTCACTTAGAATAGAGACCAGGGGTAGGCACCTTGGCTCTTTTATGACTCGTGGACTTCAACTCCCAGAATTCCTGAGCCAGCCTGGCTCAGCTTGGAAACCTCTCCCTTTCCCCTCAGCATGGCTGGCTGAGGAATTCTGGGAGTTGAAGGCCACGAGTCATAAAAGAGCCAAGGTGGCCTACCCCTGGTCTAAGGGCTATTCTAAGTGTTATTTATATAGCCTAGGGCAGGGGTAGGCCACCTTGGCTCTTTTATGACTCGTGGACTTCAACTCCCAGAATTCCTGAGCCAGCCTGGCTCAGCTTGGAAACCTCTCCCTTTCCCCTCAGCATGGCTGGCTCAGGAATTCTGGGAGTCATAAAAGAGCCAAGGTTGCCTACCCCTGTTATAACAGCACTGAAAAAATGACTTATGAGCATTTTTCACACTTAACGACCGTTGCAGCATCCCCATGTTCACGTGATCAAAATTCAGACGCTCGGTAACTGACTCGTACTTGTGACGCTTGCAGTGTCCCGGGATCACATCGTCACGTTTTGCAACCATCTGACCAGCAAAGTCAATGGGGTAACTGGACTCGCTTAACAACCGGGTTCCTAATTTAACAACTTGCAGTGAGTCACTTAATAACTATGCAAAGTAGGTGGTAAAAATGGAACAAAACATCCTTAACAAGAGAAAATGTGGGCTCAGTTGTGGTCGTAAGCTGAGGACTAGCTGCAATGCCAGTGCTCCTGGGCTTAGATGGAGGGAACCAGTCCTAATCCCTCTTGCAGTTTCAATGGCTGAGGGGGGAACCAGGGCCTGGGTCTCCCAACTCTTAGCCCAGCCCTCTTCCTCACTACCCCAAAAAGCTAATACAATCCTGGGTTGTGTAAACATAGAATCAAGATCACGCGAGGTATTAGTACCGCTTTATAAAATCCCTAGTAAGACCACACCTGGAATACGGCAGCCAATTTTGGTCACCCTATCACAAAAAAGATGTCGAGAGTTTGGAAAAAATTCAGAGAAGAGCAACTAAGATGATCAAAGGCCTGGAGACTAAAACATACGAAGAACGGCCGTGAGACTTTGGCTAGTCTAGAGAAAAGAAGAAATAGGGGAGACATGATAGCAGGGTTCCCATATCTGAGGGGCAAGAGGGGGCCAGTTTGTTCACCAGAGCACCAGAGGGAAGGACGAGAAACAATTCAAGGAGAGAAGGAGAGAAGCAATCTGGAATTAAGGAGAAATTTCCTGACAGTGAGGACAATTAAACAGTGGAACAGTTTTGCCTCCAGAAATCGTGGGCACTCCATCACTGGAGATTTTCAGGAAGAGGCTAGAGCTAGACAGTATAGGTTCTCTTGCTTGAGCAGGGGGCTGGACTAGAAGACCTCCAAGGTCCCTTCCAGCTCTATTCTATTCTATTCTATTCTATTCTATTCTATTCTATTCTGTTCTATTCTATTCTATTCTATTCTATATTCTATATTCTATTATATTCTATTCCCTTCTATATTCTATTCTATTCCATTCTATATTCTATTCTGTTCTATTCTATTTTATATTCTACTCTATATTCTATATTCTATATTCTGTATTCTGTATTCTATATTCTATTCTATTCCATTCTATATTCTATTCTATTCTATTCTATTCTATTCTATTCTATTCTATTCTATTCTATATTCTATTCTATTCCATTCTATATTCTATTCTATTCTATTTTATATTCTATTCTATATTCTATATTCTATATTCTATTATATTCCATTCTATATTCTATTCTATTCTATTCTATTCTATTCTATTCTATATTCTATTCTATTCTATTCTATATTCTATTCTATTCCATTCTATATTCCATTCTATTCTATTTTATATTCTATTCTATATTCTATATTCTATATTCTATTCTATTCTATTCTATTCTATTCTATTCTATTCTATTCTATTCTATTCTACCCCACCCTTAATTTTTGGACTGGAAGGGAGGGGTTGGGCCCATATTCCCCAGCGGTTTCTGTGGCTGCGAAGGGACCAAACCCGGGTCTTTCTGCTCCTAGACCAATATCTCCATTGCTGGCCTGAACTCACCTTTAAACGTACATAAAACCTCTTTTAGTTCAATCCTCTTTCTCGAAAAACGGTTGAACCTGTATTCCAGCTCCTTGAAATCTCTCTTCCACTTAAAATGCAGCCCATTCTTCCTGCTGATGAAGGGGGGGACAAAAGACGTGTGGGCCTTTTAAAGTTCAAACCACGGTTCTTGTCTGATTTCCAAGCTCTTATACAGCTACTCCTCCACTTACAACCGTTCTCTTAGTGACCGTTCAATGTTACATCACTGAAAAAAGCGAGTTATGACCGTTTTTCACACTTAAGACCTTCGCAGCATGCCCAGGGTAACGTGATCAAAATTCAGACGCTTGGCAACCGACTCATACTAGTGATGGTTCCCATGTCCCGGGATCTTCTGATTAGCAAAGTCAGTGGGGAAAAGCCAGATTCACTTAACAACCGGGTTACTAACAGTTGCAGGGGTTCACTTAACCAATTGTAGTGAAAAAGGTTGTATAATGGGACAAATTGACTTAACAACTGTCTCGCTTAGCAACAGACATTTTCAGCTCAATTGTGGTCGTAAGTCGAAGAAGGCCTGTATACGGGTCATTAGGTTTACTTAATGGCGGAGGCCTAAAGTGAAAAGGTTTTATAAAACCCAGCTGAAGGCCTAGGGCTGGGGCAACAGCGTGCGTGCCCACAGAAAGGGCTCTGAGTGCCACCTCTGACACCCGTGGTATATGGTTTTCTTCCACTGGTATATGGTTTTCTTCCTGAGCAGGGAGTTGGACTAGAAGACCTCCAAGGTCCCTTCCAACTCTGTTATTCTGTTCTGTTAAAATAAACTTCTAATATTGATTGCAGGAATTACTCCGACAATCATGTGTTTTTCCTTCCCTCAGGCAATACCAATTTGTTTGTTTATATGATTAAAAATGGCTGCCCATTCAGAGCAAAGACTCTGGACAGCATTTGATACTGAATATTTTTTCAGCCTTCTTACCTTCCTCTAATCCAGGGGTAGGCAACCTTGGCTCTTTTATGACTCGTGGACTTCAACTCCCAGAATTCCTGAGCCAGCATGGCTCAGCTTGGAAATCTCTCCCTTTCCCCTCAGCGTGGCTGGGTCAGGAATTCTGGGAGTTGAAGTCCACAAGCCAAAAAAGGGCCAAGTTTGAAGAACACTTTCCTAGACAGTCACGTCTCTGAAATGGTATAGGGCAGGGGTAGGCAACCTTGGCTCTTTTATGACTTGTGGGCTTCAACTCCCAGAATTCCTGAGCTAGCCTGGCTCAGCTTGGAAACCTCTCCCTTTCCCCTCAGCATGGCTGGCTCAGGAATTCTGGGAGTTGAAATCCACCAGTCATAAAAGAGCCAAGGTGGTCTACCCCTGCTCTAATCCTTGTTTACTTATTTGATTTGATTTATGAAATTTACATCATTGCCTATCCAAAGCAAATGATCTCCAGGCTGCTAAGCTAACAATACAAGACTAAACAAGAAAAATACAGTTAAAGCAGACCGTATAAATCAATGCCAATTACACAACAGAAGAGTTAAAGAATCCTTCCGCAGGTGAACCCAATGAATACAACACATTGACAATGATATAAACGTACCGCTTGGTTGGTCTTCTGAGATTCTGCAGCAAAAAAGAAAGAAAAGAGAAGAAAAATGTATCAGGCGTGAATGTTTTCTGGGAACAATTTAAGATTATTTCTGTAACCATTTCCCCCTAAAAAATTACTGAAGGGCATTAATCATTTTCCCCTTAAGTAAAAATGAATATTTGATACAAACATAGGACTAGTTTTCATTAAAGCAACAACAACAGAGCAATATGATTAATTATTCCCATAATTAATGAAATTAATCAGTGGAACAACCTGCCTCCAGAAGCGGTGAATGCTCCAACACTGGAAGTTTTTAAGAAGAGACTGGACAGCCATTTGTCCGAAATGGTATAGGGTTTCCTGCCTGAGCAGGAGGTTGGACTAGATGACCTCCAAGGTCCCTTCCAACTGTATTATTATTATTATTATTATTATTAAATAATCCAATAATTTTCAAAATACTTTCCTGATAAATGCTCCAGCAAACTCATTTTGATCAGTAGACCTATAGAGGTGGTCCTTGACTTACGACCACAACTGAGCCATACGACCTTTCGTGCCACAGGGGTTAAGTGAATCACTGCAGTTGTTAAGTTAGGAACAACACGACTGTTCACTGAATCTGACTTCCTCATGGACTTGGCTCGTCAGAAGGCTGCAAAAGGGGATCACGTGACCCTAGGACACTGCGATGGTCACAAATAGGAGTTAGTGGCCAAGCATCCGAATGTAAATCATTTGACCCTGGGGATGCAGCAACAGTCAGCTTGACTCTATGTGTTGTGATTCTGTGCCAGCCTGTGCTCCCAACAGCTGAGTCTGAGGGATCTGAGGAGGAGTGGAAGAGGCATTTGAAGGGCCATCAGGGGCAGAGGGAGGCTCGGATGAATTACAGGACTCACAGTTTGATGCAGAGCCTGGGCCCTCCAGTCGTGTTCCTGATGAAGCTCAGCTGTGTGAGGAGAATGAGTCAGACTCAGAGGGCTCACACCTGATGGACTTGCTAATTGATGCTCGCACACGTCGTCAATTAGCGAGAGTAAATCAGCAGCAGTCAATACGGCAACTCCAGAGTAAAAGGAGAAGGCAATGAGAGGCAACGCCTTGGGACTGCTGTAGAAAAAGAGGAGGTGTGGGCGGTGCTGGTTGCAGAAGGCAACCGTTTGCAAAGTGCTTCTTGGAATCCCGGTCTGTTCGTCTTGCTTGTGACTACTCTTCTCTTTGCATCGTGTTTCCTGTGGACTATTTCCTTCCTTTGGACTTGAGTTTTGCTGTTTGTGTTTTGGACTATTTGACAGGTTTGTCACCCATATTAAAAGGGGTTTGTTTTGTTTTAAAGTCTCCAGCCTATTGTATCAGCAGGGGTTTGGTCCTTGTGCCTTTAACAAGGATGGCAATAGGCTGGAATAGAACACTATGTAGGGATTTGAAGTCAGATACAGTTGGCTAAATCAGAGGTCCCCGACCTTTTGGGCAACAGGGACCAGTTCCGTGGAGAGAGGTTTTTCCACAGACTGGAGGGGGCGTGGTTTCGTGTTCTACCTGCATCCCAAGGGTGGGGCTTTGCTTGTTTGCGCGGTCTCAACGCTGCTAACATTGGATGTTCTTGCTTTGACAGCATATGAAGATGCCGCCTTTTTCTTTCTCATGCTTTACTCTTAGAATTAGATGATGCTGGGGGAGGAGGTGGAATGTGGTGGGAGTTAGTTAGACCAGTGGTTCTTAACCTGGGCGATATTGCCCCCCAGGGGGCGATTTCACTTTTCAGGGGGGCAATGGAACGAAAAGGGGCGACACGGGGGCGAAGGAACGAAAAGGGGGCGATATGGAGGCGATGGAGCAAGAGGTTTTGGGGACACTTTTGAGACTTTTTCATACAATGAATCGCTTTATATCTGTCGTACAAAAACATCAGAACGCTCGCTATTAGTGGATTGAATTGTGTTTTCAAATGTTCCTCCAGCTAGCTTCAGTACAGAATGCCGTACATATGTGAATACGCATCGCTTATCTTCGTGCGCGCTACGCAGCAGCCTCTACCCATACAGTGGCACGCCATTGGCCAGAATATGGGAGATATGGGGAAAAGACTGGAAATAAATTATTTGCATCGATATGTCCTGATGACAATTTTAAAGCAAACAAAAAAAAGGTGTTTGCATAAATTGAAGAATTATTTCCTGTGTTGTGATTGAGAGGTTATGTTGGGGGAGGGGGGTGATGACAACTTCCTCACTGGCTCAAGGGGGTGATTTGTTCAAAAAGCTTAAGAACCACTGAGTTAGACAGAACAATATTGTACCAGTGTGTGAAATAAGAGATGATAAGAATTGGCTGGTAGCAGAACAGCAGGGAAAGCCTGCATTTCAAACTAATTGGGGAATGTGATTTATGACAGTTAATTGGAGGAGGGAATTGTGCTTTGATACTATGTGCTCAGGGGAGGGTAATTCAGATTTTGGCTTTGCCAATGTTAGTGCCCGAAGCTATGCTACTCCCATATAGATTCTTTAAGGAAAACAATGCCTCGAAGTTCTTTGAAGAGTTTCATCTGTCGGAACCATGACATGCGGACCGGTTGCTGGCATGCTGCGGTCCGTTACTGGTCCATGGACTGAAGGTTGGGGACCCCTGGGCTAAATGATGCCTCTGAAGAATTATTTTGAAGAAGGCATTTTTATAACTAGCCCAGGGTTACAAGCAGTCCTCAATCTGCAATTATTCCTTTAGTGACTGTTCCAAGTTACAACAGCACTGAAAAAAATGGTGGGGATCAGCAATGGAACTTGCAGCTATGTTTTCCTCTGCTCTCAGCAAAGAGGTGGAGTAATATGGTACAGGTAGGCCTCAACGTACAACCGTTTATTTTAGTGACCGTTCAAAGTCATAACGGCACCGAAAAAAGGTGACTTAAGGCTCTTTTTCACACATACGACCGTGGCGGCATCCGCAGGGTCATGTGATCAAAATGCAGACGCTTGGCCACTGACTCACATTTATGATGGTTGCAGTGCCGTGAGGTCACACAAACCACCTTCTCATCAGCAAAGTCAATGGGGGAATCAGATTCACTTGACGACTGTGTGACTAATAACTGCAGTGATTCACTTAACAACTGCGGTGAGAAAGGTCGTAAAATGGTGCAAAACTCACTTAACATCTGCCTTGCTTAGTAATGTAAATTTTGGGCTCAATTGTGATCGTACGTTGAGGACAACCCGTATATGTTGAGAAGCATCAGATTGATCTTTTCAAGTTTGAAATGAGCAGGGGGTTGGACTAGATCAGGGGTGTCAAACTCAATTTCATTGAGGGCCGCATCAGCATTGCGGTTGGCCTCAAGGGGGCCGGGTGGGTGTGGCCTACTGGGTGGGCGTGGATGGAGTGGGTGTGGCCTACTGGGTGGGCGTGGCCAGCTCTACATCATTCGCGTCAAGGGTACCTGTGGAGGCCTGGCAGGAGTGGGACAGATCTGAGGGTCTCTGGCAGAAAGGGGTGGGACCAGGGCAGAGCCCATCAAGCCGGATATGTGAAGTAGGTGAGGGCCATTTGCTGGCCACTTCTAGGCAATGATGCATTTCTTCATTCCTCACAAAGAGTGACACCTCCCCAGCATGCACCCAGGGGGTGGGGCCGACACAGCAGGGGCTGGTTCTTCGCTGTTTCCAGGCGGCCTTGTGGAGCTAAGACTGAATGCGTTTCAGCATAGATGGCCACCACAAATTTGTACATTGGCTCCCGGCCGGCCTGGGCCAGGGCCAAGGCAGCGGGGGCCGTTCCCTCACTGTTTTCAGGATGGCTTCGCTAAAGTGGGAAAGAAATAGAATAACATAGAATAAAGAAGAATAAAGTATAATAATAATAATAATAATGAAAAATCACTAAAAGCAAAAATCATGTGTCTGCATAATCTCTGAAAGAAAGCTGTGTTAGCCAAAAGCTGTATTAACAGTACGTGAATGACCTAATGCATATTTAGAAACATTGTATAAAAGTAAAAACTGCCTTCATTGTATTCCCATGAGAAATGGACCTAACGTGTGAGAAACTATCTGAATGTTACACAAAGTAGATTCCATATACAATGTAAGATTCCATCTATGCTTCCTTTGTTCCTGAGAAAAAGAAACCTATAAAGCTTTAGTTTAGACCCTCCCCCTTGTTCAGAAATTTGTTGATTGTTAAATCACTTCTGAACCTTTTTGCGCAAAAATAAAAATCTCTCTTTCACCCATGGAATTTCGTAAAAGCCCTTTATTTTTTTTAAGGCTTTATTTTTCCACAAGATTTATGGCAACTCCACCGGGACATTTTTAAGGGCTTTTAAGAAAAAGGATTTAACCTTCCAAGACGGATTGCCCTGGTGGGCCCCCCCCTCTCCTAAACAACGACAGCTCCAAAAGCCGGCTCTGTAGCTCTTGACTACGAGGAGACCTCGACGGAAGGAAAGGGAATTAACCCATCAGCGAAGCATTCCTGTCTAAGGATCCGTGAGGGTGACAGACAGATCTTAAATCAACAAAGGAGTCTGGAAAACGCCTGCAGGGAAGTATTGTAAAACAGGGGAAACCTGATCCCTTTTGGATTGGAAGAAGGGATTGATCACCCTTTAGAAGGCAAAGGTGTTGTCCTTAAGCCTTCAATAGGCAGGATTGTGTGGGAGGTTAAACCATTGTAGCTCATGCTTGAGTGATCAATGGTAGTGTATTAGAGAGATGGGTGGGAAAAAGTCAAAGGAGAGCGTTGACCAGACGCCACTCCAGTGCATGTTAAAGAATTTCAAAAAAAGGGGTTTTCTAGGGATTATGGAGATCCAAAACCAAATCCAGCCATGTTAAAAAGATTCTGTGAATCTGAGTGGACTGCCCTGGGTGTAGGGTGGCCAAAAATGGGATCGGCGAACCCCTATATTGACCAATGGAAAATCAACATTGCACAGAGACCCAGATGGTTAGCAAAATGTCAGATAGAGTATGCAAAGATATATTTGGCAAGCCAAAAAGCCAAGCCTCAAACAAAAGCTAAGATTTTCAGCCAGGAAGATAGGGAGGAAATTGCCAGACCACCCCCCTATTTCCTAGAAGACAAAAAGGGAGAATAAATCAGCAAATTCCACCCCCTCTGCCTGAAAGAGAAGCCCAATTTCAGCCAGAAGCTGGTGAGGAAGGAAAATTAGCAACAGCTGGATCCCTTCAAGAAACAGATAAAAGCTTGAATAACTTTGAAGAAAACAAAACAGTTTCTAGCCGAACCAGGACTAAGGCAGAAATAAAAACAGAAGAAAATATAGCCCCTCTAAGAGAGGTGTTGGTTTCTGGACCAGATAACAGTAATATTTCAATGCTTTCAAAAAGAAAAAAAGAAAGTTGAAATGTTAGCCGTGGCTTTGGGAGGAACATGCCTAGGACCCAATCAGTGTGCCATCTGTAAACAAGAAGGACACTGGCAAAGGGAGTGCCCCCAGAGGAATGGCCAACCCAGGGGACAATCTCGCCAGTATGGAAGAGGAAGAGGATTTAGAGGGACTTTCCAGAGAGGCTTCAGAAAGAGCTTCAAAGGAAGAGGGCATCCAGTTTATCCCAATCAGACAGAGGAAAGAGAAGAAAACATGATCGGCTTAGCTGACATGGAATGGGAAGACTGAAGAGGACAGGGTTCTATCGCCCCCCCCCAGAGCCCATTGTTAAAATAATGGTGGGAGGACAGGTTGTCCCGATGCTAGTTGACACGGAAGCCACCAGATCTGTCCTAAATAAATCTATTGGCAAGCAATCAAAGCAGACTATTCAAATTCAGGGAGTATCTGGAGAAACTCAAATCAGACCACTCCTGGAACCCCTAACATGCCAAGTGGGACAAGGAGTCATTAAACATCAGTTT